TGAGGGTGCGGATGATGATGATGATGATGATGATGATGATGATGATGATGATGATGATGATGGTGATGGTGATGATGAGGAGGATGAGGAGGAGGAGGAGGAGGAGGAGGAGGAGGGGACGACGATGATGATGCTGATGATGATGACGACGATGATGATGATGATGATGATGATGATGATGATGATGATGATGCTGAGCACGATAAGGAGGATGATTATGATGTTGCTGTTGATAATGATGACGACGATGATGATGGTGGTGATGAGGATGATCACCATGGTGATGATGCTGATGCTGATGATGCTGCAGATGATGATGATGATGATGCTGATGCTGATGCTGAGGATGCAGCTGCTGATGCTGATGATGCTGATGAGGAGGTTGTTGTTGTTGCTGTTATTGTTGTTGTGGTTGTGGTTGTGGTTGTGGTTGTGGTTGTTGTTGTTGTTGTTGTTGTTGTTGTTGTTGTTGTTGTTGTTGTTGTTGTTGTTGTTGTTATTGTTGTTGTTGTTCTTGTTGCGGATTCCCATGGGTTCCTATGGATTCCTAAGGTTCTTTAGTGGTTTCTCGCATTTTCGAGGGATCCCTAGGGATCACTCGGGATCTCTCTGGGTTTCTAGGGACTCCGAGGTATTCCTACGGATCTCGAAGGATTTCTACGGATCCCCTTGGTATTCTTAAGGATCCTTTCTAGGGATTTCTATGGATTCCAGAGACTTCCGAAGGGTTCCTATGAATTCCTCTGGGATCCTGAAGAATCCCTGAGGGATTCCTATGGATTCCGATGGGCCCCTGTGGAATATTGATTGAAGGTCCCTCTTGGGTGTTGCTGGGATTACTGGTTGTTAAGGTTCCTGGGGATTCCTAGGGATCCACACGGATTCCCAAGGATTCCTGAGGATTCTTGAGGGATTATTGAGGGACCCCAACGGGTTCCTAAGGATTCATATGCATTCCAATGGACTCCTCAGGATTCCTATGCATCCTAGGGGTTCCTCAGGACTCCGATGGATTCCTACGGATCCCTTTGTATTCCCGGTGATCCTTAGGCAGTCCTAGGGATACCTAATGTTTCCTAAGGAGTCCTAGTGTTTCCAAAGGATTCCTATTTCTTCCCATTGGTTCCTCAGGATTCAAATGGGTTCCTATGTTTTCCTATGGCTTCCTATGGATTCTTATGGATTCCTATGGAACCCTGGGTAAGGGATCCTTAGTCGGGAATCCTTGGTAGGGAGCCCCAATTCCGACGGAATCCCCAGGATTCCTTTGCATTCCGAAGGGTTCCTAAGGATTCCTGAGGATTCCGAAGGATTCCTGAGGATTCCTAAGGATTCCCAAGGATTCCTTCCGATTCCTAAGGGTCCCATTCGGGTTCCTAAGGATCCCTTGGGATTCCGAAGAATGCCCAAGGATTCCTCGGAGTTCTAGGGATTCCTAACGATTCCTAGGGATCCCTAAGGATTCCCAAGGCTTCCTCAGGATCCCGAAGCATGCCTCGGGACTCCTAAGGATTCCTAAGGATCCCTTTGGGATGCCTATGGGTCCCTGAGGGATTCCTAGGCTTCCTAGGGATTCCTAAGGGTTCCTAGTATTTCAAAGGATTCCTCGGAGTGCTAGGGATTCCTGAAGATTCCCAGGGATTCCTCAGGATTCCAATCGATTCCTCTGGATTCCGGAGGATTCCTTACTAGGGATTCCTAAGGATTCCTGAGGAGTCCTAAGGATTCCGAAGGAGTCTGCAGGATTCCGAAGGATTCAGAAGAAGTTCGAAGGATTCGTAAGGATTTCTAGGGAGTCCTCCAGATTCCCAGGGATTCCCAAGGATTCCGAGAGATCCTCGGGGAGTCCTAGGGATTCCTCTGGGATTCTAAAACATCCCTGGGGATTCCTAAGGATCCCCAGGGATTCTTATGGATGGATTCCCAAGGGTTCCTGACGATTCCCAGGGATTCCTATGGATTCCTGTAGATTCCTGCGGATTCCTTAGGATGCCGAGCAGGTTGCGCGTCTCGCCGGAGCGCACATGTGTCATCGAGAGCGCACGTCCATGGGGTCGTGTAAGCAAGCTCGATAGCTCGATAGGATTGGTAGGTTTCAAGATAAGCTTGAGGAGCCAGTTGGGTTGCTGGTTGCTGGTTGCTGGGGGAGGGGGGGTTGACGACCTCCGGTGTTCTAGGTGCAGTGTCGTTCCTTAAGGCCAACCATTGATCCCAGTCCCCGTACAGAGGGGCTCTAGGTGCAGTGTCGTCTGATGATGATGACGATGCTGACGATGATGATGATGATGATGATGATGATGATGATGATGATGATGATGATGATGATGATGACGTTGATGATGGTGGTGATGCTGATGATGATGATGATGCTATCGATGGGGATGGGAATGGGAATTGTGATGGTGATGATGACGATGATGATGCTGATGCTAATGCTGATGATGATGCTGCTGCTGCTGATGATGATGCTGGTGAAACTGATGACGATGATGTTGATGATGGTGAACATGGGGTGATGACGATGATGATGGTGGGCGCGAGGAGGATGATGGTCGTGATGATGATGGTGATGATGATGCTGTTTATGACGATGACGGTGACGACGATGATGATGACGGTGATGATGATGGTGATGATGTTGATGGTGATGATGCTGATGATGATGCTGATGATGATGATGGTGGTGGTGGTGGTGGTGCTGCTTGTGA